ATAAAAAGACTTATTCTTGACGCATAATTCTGCATGAAAATAAAGGATTTTGCAAGTACAGGATAGGTCTTTTAAAGACTCTACAGAAATATGATATTGTGCTTTTTCATTTTCTGAAACCACTTCTGTTACCATAAATGATTGAATTCCAGCCTTATTTAATAGGGTATTGGCAACAAAAATTGGTTCATCTATCTTATTGCTTCATCTGAAAGAGCATGAAAAAATAAGCCGATTGGCCATTTAATGCTCTATTCTATCTCATCTAGTTCCGAAGTTATACGCAAAAATGTGAAAATATAAATTGCTGATTCAGCACAACGTGTGACGTCATTAGCTGGGTAAATATGTTTATTGAATACTACACTGAAGCATAGCTCAGTTATTATGGGCCCAAATCAAATGAAATTTTGCATACTGATTGTACATGATGAGACGCATGGAAAAACACTTCTAATTTTGTTGCCAAGGTAACAATGTCGTTTCCAGGCCCCTTGCGCCAATTTTATGAAACAGCTTTATTCAAGGTACTGATAAGAGTAAAATAATATCAGAAGTATGTGTATGATACCTACGCATGCCAAAAGTTTACTTGCATGATAATAATTCGAAAATGACATACACATAGATAAATGCAACTAGTTATTCAAAATCAGTGTAAGAGGCCTGGGAACGACTGTGTTGCCTTGACAACGAAATTAGAAGTATTTTCCCATGCAATAATAACTCAGCTATGCTTTAGTTTACTATTCAATAAACATACTTACCCAGTTTATGACGTCACAGAATGTGCTGAATCAGCAATTTATATTTTGCACATTTTTGCGTTTAACTTCGGAACCAGATGAGATAGAATAGAGCAGTAAACGGCCAATCGGCTTATTTTTTCATGCTCTTTCAGAAGAAGCAATAAAATCAATAAAAATTTTTGTTGCCAATACCCTTTAACTTTGTAATTTGATCGCACATTAGCGCATTTAACGGCGACACGACCAAAATCAACGAACCAACACATCTTTCTCTCAAATGTGAATTTGCCGACATATAATCGAATACATTGGGCAATATTTGATATATTAGCGACTTGCCAAAGCCAGTGGGCAACACAGCCAATACATCCTTTCCACGCAAGACTGATTCTACAGCACGGAACTGTTCATCTTTCAGTTTTACATCATGTGAATATAGCTTATTTATCGCAATTTTTATAGCATTATTTAGCAAGCAGCTCATATTGTAGCAATTTACGGAGCGTATATTTCTTAAACGTTAAAATGGGCGAGTCTATTAAAGTTTATTTATTTTAAAACAGTTTTTAATAAATTAATTATTATAAGTTCAGTATCTCAAACTCAAGACGTTATATAAACAAACTGATATGCGGTGAATATAGCCAGTTAAATAACAAATTTTATAAACTTTAAACCATACCTTTTCTGATTCAAGCCCGGCGTATTCAATCATTTTAATGGCAGAAAACTGTATTATTGTACCATGAAATTATATGATTTCCACACATAAATAATACGCTGGAGTCTGCAGTCTGCACTCCCCGTGTTTAAGCGGTTGGGCTTTTGAGCATGCTCACAACAACCGGAACCCCAGAATTTAAGGGTTCCGGTTTTCAATTTCCCCAGAGCCAATGCCATCCTAGCCCGCGTACAGGCATTGCTCTGGGTACGAGATTGGACACGTAATGGTTAGAGCATGGCCACGTGTGCTCTATGGGATATAGAGTCCCGAGAATTAGTTAATTCCTTTTAACTAATTGTTTACATCGGACACTTGTAAATAAACTTGCAACAATTGATCAAAGTCTTTCATGAGAGGTTCATGTGTACCTGGAATTGCAGGTTCATTGCTTGACTTTACTCTGAGTGTATATCCATTAATCCACACCGGGCAGACTGAAAATTTAGCCTGATCATGACCACGGTGGGAATCGAACCCGCGACCTTTGGGATACTAGTCCAATGCTCTGCCAACTGAGCTACGAGGTCAAGTCTGTTCGAGTGTGTGGTATTTCGGAACTAAGTCTAGTAGTACCTTCGACATCACGAATGTGTTCTATGATCATGATATTTTTTGTGTGTGTTTTGATGTTATGTACTCAGGTGAATATAATGTTTTTGATGTTACTCTTAGTGTATATCCACACAGGGCAGGCTGAAAATTTAGCCTGACCACAGTGGGAATCGAAGCCGTGATCTTTGGAATGCTAGTCCGAGCCTGTCCGGTGTGGATATACACTACACACTCGAACAGACTTGGCCTCGTAGCGCAGTTGGCAGAGCATTGGACTATGAGTATCCCAAAGGTCGCGGGTTCGATTCCCACCGTGGCCAGGCTAAATTTTCAGCCTGCCCGGTGTGGATTTACACTCAGAGTAACATCAAAAACATTATATTCGCCTGAGTACATAACATCAAAACACACAAAAAATATCATTGCTTGACTTGTTGAACACTGAGTTAAAAAAATCATTGAATATACAGGGTGTATAAAACTGAAAAAAGGTAATCGAACTTCAGCGCGCTATTGTATCTGAATTACTCTGCGTATGAACGAGATTTTTCACATTCGGAAAGATCATGCTTTTGGCTGTTGAATGATACATTCTTCATGCCAGGCCAAATGGATAAAAAATGAGCAAATACGAATCCGATAAAAAATGTTAGTCAGAATCGCATATTTTCACCGTTGAGAGTAGGGTCTAAAACCATTGAAAATGAATCCCCTTTAGTACTTGTTGATGAATTTCACTTCAATAAACGACGCACTGAGCAAAGTTTAACATATTCGAGCAAAGCTTAACACACAACGGTCACATTTGTGTGTCGGTGTGTGGTCACAGTTTAGACTCATAATGACCATAGTCATTGTTCCATTATATTGAAAAGCGCCATTCCTTCAGCCGGATAGACACACAAGGATCAAGTTACACGTGGTTACAGATTCACTCACACGCCCCCCCCCCCCCGTGGAAATCAGCTACGGTTGACGGGGTCAGCGTGGATATATACATTTCTACTACTACTACTACTGCACATATTTATCACTTATTTGCTGAGACCGAGGGAAACAGTGTGTTTTGCGGACCGGTTGCTGCCCTGCGATCAGGCCTATAAATAAATAAATAGGCCTGATACAAACCTTAACAAAAGTCCATGTTTTTGCAACCGTATTTCGGTTGTAAATCAGATTGGTTTATGAGACAAAAGATTTTTTAATCTGTCATTTGATTGGTTGGTGCTAATGAGATTACACTATTGTCGTTGATATATCTATAGTGATCACAACTATAATTAGATCGTTGTTGCCGTTGTATGAAATTTAAATTTCTCCTGCGACATTTTGATTGGATACTAAAAATAAACTTTGCTGTGGATGGAAAGCTATCGGATTAAGGATTGTGAGGCTATTATTTGTAAAATAGAGCCTGATCTCAGGTTAACCGATTGCCAAACATGACGTTTTGTGGACCGGCACGTGACACGGTTTTGACCAATCGGCAAACAGAAAAATTGCACTTTCATTGACACTAACTATATAACAATCATAAGTATTACTAAGTAGGAATAAATTTTAGCTAAGCTACGACACGTTCGTGATTACTTGCTTTTTCTTTTGTTATGCATTGTTTTAATTAGGCACAGAGGTGAAAATATGCGATTTTGACTAACATTTTTAATCGGCCTCGTACATGCTTATTTTTTCTTCACTTGGCATGAAAAGCATGTCATTCATAGCTACTACGCCTGATCTTTCCGAATATGAAAACCAATTGTTCATACGCCGAGTAATTCACGTATAATAGCGCGCTGAAGTTCGATTACCTTTTTTTATACACCCTGTAGTTTGCTTTATAAAGAATTTGTTACTGGACATTTGTCTTTTGTTCTTTTTTACGCATTGGGAACTCTATTAGATTTTTGTTGCATGCCCATATATAGGCATGTAACTTTCATATAGCTCTAAATTTCGTGTCGCGGTGTACCGGCGGATGTAAATCACGTGACAGATTCGTAAAATACGACAAATATCGAGTTTTTCCAACGAGCATTTTCATGTGATATGATCATGTGAATCACTTATGCACGCTTTTGCTCGTCGAGGAAACGCAAAGAAAATATCGATTTTTTGCCGACAATTTACGCAATTTAGCGCCATAGAAAAACAGATTGAGGTAGGTAAAGCTTTGCTGTTTTTAATTTACCTTATATTCTGTTATTTGTTGTTATTTTGGAGCAGTTGTGCTCGCACCGATTATTTATCAATTATCAGGCTTTATATATTTATATATCGTGCGAAAGGCCACGTACGCTATTAAAATACTCATTTTTTATATCCTCAAAGCCATTGTGCTAGCACTGATTATATTGTGTACAAAACTTCAAACCTACAGTACATTTTGTAAATAACGTGAAAATTAATACAACGAAATAGCATTCTACTTCGACAATTTCGATCATAAAAATAAGCAGAAACTCGACGTTTCGAGCGAAGGCCCTTCGTCAACAGTTAGTAGCAGGAATCGGGGGAAAATGCACGGGCTTTATACTAAGAGTATGAAAGCATCACGTGACAAAAAAATAAACCAATCATAACAAAGTGTAAACAAAAATAAATCGCAATACAGGATATAAAATAATATAATTAAAAATATAAAAATATACAGGAAGTTAAGACAATTACTACAAAAAATAATCAAAACAAAACACGAGTGGGAATAAGGTAAAAGTAATAAATAGATATGTTGTCAATGTCTGCTATAGACAGGCAAGGACAGATGGCATCATAGACAATCCGGAGGACATGTCCCTCACAAGTACGTCCCTCACAAGGACGTTTTTGAGGCTATCAACCCCAAAAAATCTTCCTGGTATCCCCCAGAAGACCAATATGGGTTCCTTGAACATGTCTTTAGACATGTCTTCTGGATTGTCTATGATGCCATATGTCCTTGCCTGTCTATAGCAGACATTATTTATTACTTTTACCTTATTCCCACACGTGTTTTGTTTTGATTATTTTTTGTAGTAATTTTCTTAACTTCCTGTATATTTTTATATTTTTAATTATATTATTTTATATTCTGTAATGCGATTTACATATTTTTGTTTACACTTTGGTATGATTAAATCCATCTAATTGATTTTTTTTGTTGTCACGTGATGCTTTCATACTCCTAGTATAAAAGCCCGTGCATTTTTCCCTGATACCTGCTACTAACTCTTGATGAAAGGCCTTCGCTCGAAACGTCGAGTTTCTGCTTATTCAGCACAGCATTTTCACATTGGTACTACCAACACTGGTACAGACAGTTTTAGTATAATTTCAATCATAATCGAGATCATAGTTTAATTAATAGTTATTTCCAATCTATTATAGTAATTCTCCGTTTCCATGGTTTTTATACGTCCAATAAGCCACAATAAAGCTAAATTTGTTTAAATTTGTAGGAAATAACATTGTTTACTTAAAATAGTCAATCCAACCTTGACCAGTTGACCATGTATTACCGTCCCTTGCAACTTATTCGTGTGAGAAGTTTTGTTATTTTGACTTAATAGCTATTTTTCAATAAATATATTGATATTAAACTTATTGAATCAATATTTTAAGTTTCAGGCCAGTTATACCAAAATTTATAATCGCTTGTGCATCATTTAAATGCGGATTTCCATTCAGTGCAAAATGTCGTGCGATCGACATTTTGCGATCGCTTTCTTTTGAAATACGTGCAATCAAACGAAACGGATCAGGTTGACTTAACGCATTTCAAAAGAAAGTGATCGCAAAAAATTGATCTCGCGATATTTTGCACTGAATGGAAACAATATAACGTTTAACGAAAGGAAACAATATGACGCTTCTGAGGCATGCAACATGTACGCACTGCGTATCTATTTTTTAAAATTGTAATTGTGTCATTGCCGAAAATAAGCAGATTTTAATTGAGTCATAATTAGATTTTTAGTTGGCCGGGCTGGCGAAATATTTCGTTTGATGGAATTTTATATCAGAATTAAGCTGGAAATCGCAATATATGATTTCGAATGCTCAACTTCAAAGGTTTCATTGTTAGTAACCGCGCGAAAATTGAATTTTCAGTAAAACATTCACAACCAGAAATTGCGGCCACAAATTGAAAGCTAAGATCAGCTGGCGCACCCGAACCCCCACCCCAACCCAACCCCCAAAATTGGACGCACCGAGCGTGGCTGGAAGTTTCCCGAAATGTTTTCCCGGTATGTTTGGTTTTTATCACATGCCATTTCGGTAAAATGCTAAAAAGTACTAAACATACGTCAGCAGGTCGGTTCTAGATTGAACGCACCTCCTCGTATAGCCAATAGGAAAGCCGCTAATACGCTAGGTATGAGATAATATGTAAAGTATAAGGTCAAAAATTTGATAAAACGGTCTAATTATCTACATACTATGATCTAAAATGTCAGGGGTATATTATTGATGCCCTTGATGCTTTTGAAAAATACACTTAAACAATCATTTCTCTTTTCGTTTGCAGTTTCCTGTTCGGGTTGGCATTCGTGTTCTTTATTCTGGCAGTTAAAGGTATTTATCGTTATTTTAATTTTGAAATTTCGAAATAGGAATAGACTATCTATATATTTTGGGTGATAGCAATATTTGAATATCTTTTCGAGGTGTGGTTTGAGCTATTACAGGACAGTCTTAGTGAATATATAGTGTGTTGGCACTGACGGTTCTTCCCTCTCCTTTATTGCACGAGATCATTTCTATAAAATATTCTTTGATGTGTTGTGACCATGGTTCTGTCTACGAAGCGAACTATATATGAGAATTCAATCATGAGAAGATGCCATCATTTGTCGTTTACATCTGCAATGTTCGATCTTAAAGAGAAACCATACTTTATACAACTTTACTAGAAAATACATGCATGCGGCAGAAACCCTCGCCTTGCTGAAAAAACACCAACACAGAAAATTTATGTAATCTCTTCCACCCAAAGAATATAAAATAAATAGAAAAGCTCGTCTCGTGCGTTTAAGGTGAGATTATGCACTCGAGGAACGTTAGGAGAATACTCGAGAGCATGTAAAACACCCTGCTATGCCTCTCGTATTTCTTATCATTCATTCCCCTTGTGCATTATCACACCATAAACGCGCGTCACTCATTTTCTGTTTCTTATTAAGTCCAAAGGATTGTTTTTCAGTTCAACAACTGTGTCGAAACATATCATAGCATTTAGTAATATTACTGTATTAGTTCTGCTTTAATTAAGCTCCACATGTACAAAACAGGATAAGCTATCATGCATGTTTCATTATAATACATGATTTGGAGTGCAAAA